GACCAAAATAACCCTTGTGATATTTATTCGAGAGCCATTCAAGCGTTTTACAGCTGAATTTATTCTGTACTATGGCACTCAATAACCAGTCTGATTCCTTCAGATTATATTTTTTACTTAAAGTTTTGAGAGTGCTCTCCAGTTTAACTCTAAACTGCTGTAAACCTTTTTGTAAGTGTGATTGGAGATTTTAAATTAACAAAATATTCACTAGATCCAACCTACTTTGTTTATATTACCATAAGTGACCTTCAAAAAAGTCAACTGCTTCCTTGTAAGAGTCATTACATTGGGGAAAAGGGTTGTATGAGTATGTGAGCAATCTGTCTTACCCGTCCTTTGAGGTAAAATTTAATTTAGTTACACAGGCTGGTCACTCCTGTCATGCACAGCTGCTTTAAAAATTGACCAAATTCCTCCCCATTTTGTCCAGGATTAAACACAGGCAAACACAATTCTGGGAGTTTTGGCAAAGACATTTATTTGTTGGAGCAGACTGACCAACTGCCTCGTTTACACATTTTAATTTATTCAAGGCCTGACTTTTACAAGAAAGAATCTTTTCCTCTAATTCATAATACTGATTAATCATAAGATCTACTTCACTCTCATCTACACAGTTTACTAACAAATCTCCTTCATATTTGTTGTAATATAATTTGTATGAATCATATCTATTACCTAAAGCATCTAAATACAATTTTAAATCATCAGTATTCACAGTTTCTTGATTCATTAATTCCAAACATTTATTGTATGCTTTTGTTACATGCCCCTTTCTAGCTTGCAGTGATGCTTTTTCTGCTCTATATTCCATATGTTTGTCTTCTACATTAATTTCCTCGATTTCACCCATGATGCAATGTATTAAATTCAACTTAATAACACTGATTATACATAGTACAACTTACCTTTGAATAAATCCCAGCTACTTGAGCTCAGCAATTACATGTGCAAGAAAATTATATAAATTTTAAATGTACATTAATACAAACTTGGCTCATCAAAATTAATATTACACAAATTAATAAATCCTTGCCAAAATTTGGCATAGCAAAATTATTATACACAATATAATCTTTAGACACACTTTTCTTATCAATTATACATACACTGATATAAATCTTGGCCAGAATTGTCTTATCAAATTAATATTATACAAATTAATATAAACTTAGCCAGACTTGACTTATCAAAATTAATACTGTAATAATTATAATCCACTACACATTAAGTAAATTTGTGAACTTAGCATCCACCTCCTTCTGTTTTTTTCACATATAATTATTAAGTAAAATTAACTAATTAATGACTTCACTAAATTTCATCCGGTTTTGAAGGACCAATGGGCAAATTAAATGTGGAAAAATTTCATTTACTTGGATGTTATAAAATTTTTTACTAACAGTAAATGAACAATGATAATATTATTTATCAGTTAGACAAGTAGGAATTTGGGAAACTTAGGTACAAAAAAAGTCCCCCTTCGATACCCACCACTGTCATAACCACAAATTGCTCTGGACCCATTAATTAAATGAAATTTACATACACCAGGAATATTTGGGAAATATATAAATTTGTGGACTGTTATTAAAATAAAAAAATGGTTTTATATATATATATATTTTTATATATATATATATATATATATATATATATAATTATATATATTATATATAATATTTATATTTTTAAAATATACACAATTACATAAACAGAAGGAAAATATATCTTAATATCACTCACCAATTTGATGGATATTAAGTTGTATCATATCAGAAAAAACCTCACTAACTAAATTTATGAAAGCACTGGCTAGAATTATACACAAATCTAGAGAGCTTATCTGAGGTTCCTGGAGCTGTCTTGTCCAGTCGTCTGACATCTCAAGTTATGCAGGAATGCATGTCCAACAATTTCGCCTCCTATTTGAGAGGTGTCAGCCCAATTTTAACCTCTAGAGCACGGAAATTCCTTCCCATTACACTAACGTTGTATCCAATTCAAAACCAAGATGGCGAGTCCTCTTCTGCGCAGGCGCAGGCTCAGTTTCCCATTTTACATAATATAATTTTTATTAAATACAATATAGGCCATCTATTTACCTATAAATTACCGTATTTACGGAAAATATATACAGTATTTTCCACACTGGTCAATGACGTCGGCACTACCGTGGAGACGCAGTAAGACCATGTGTTTAAAAACACGTGAAGGTGGGACAGGTGTTGGTCCTGGCGCACGGTAAAAAAAAAAAAAGCAAAGGCACACGTGAAAAGCAGGATTTTTTTTGGTAGACTTATGCTTAGATACAAAAAAAATAATGGATGGTAGTTAGGCGAGTCTATGCTTGGTCAGCTCAGATTATATTAGGTATAGATGCTGATTAGGCTAGGTATGGATGCTGTCTAGATTATGTTAGGCATGGGTGGTTAAGTTAGCTTAGGTTTTACCTGGAGTTTACCTGGAGAGAGTTCCGGGGGTCAACGCCCCCGCGGCCCGGTCTGTGACCAGGCCTCCTGGTGGATCAGAGCCTGATCAACCAGGCTGTTGCTGCTGGCTGCACGCAAACCAACGTACGAGCCACAGCCCGGCTGATCCGGAACTGACTTTAGGTGCTTGTCCAGTGCCAGCTTGAAGACTGCCAGGGGTCTGTTGGTAATCCCCCTTATGTGTGCTGGGAGGCAGTTGAACAGTCTCAGGCCCCTGACACTTATTGTATGGTCTCTTAACGTGCTAGTGACACCCCTGCTTTTCATTGGGGGGATGGTGCATCGTCTGCCAAGTCTTTTGCTTTCGTAGTGAGTGATTTTCGTGTGCAAGTTCGGTACTAGTCCCTCTAGGATTTTCCAGGTGTATATAATCATGTATCTCTCCCTCCTGCGTTCCAGGGAATACAGGTTTAGGAACCTCAAGCGCTCCCAATAATTGAGGTGTTTTATCTCCGTTATGCGCGCCGTGAAAGTTCTCTGTACATTTTCTAGGTCGGCAATTTCACCTGCCTTGAAAGGTGCTGTTAGTGTGCAGCAATATTCCAGCAATATTCCTAATTTTCACTTACACCATTTTTACCTGTGCCATTTTCATCTACGGTGGGTCAAGGCAATACCTTCCACTGAATTACCCACGCTGGACCCAATGATCTGAATGTCACTAAAGTGGACCATGATAGCAGCGACCACTGGCTTCCCTACGCTGGACTCATTAACTGGGTAGTATTTCATGTATTTATGCTTGAAGTTAAGAGTCGGTCACACCACAAGTAGTGACATGCTGGGGTCAGATTACTACTGGTCACGTCCGCTGCTGAGTTCATGGTAAAGGTTCACTACTTTTTCCTGCTTGTGTTTACATGACACCACACCGTCGAGTTTGTGAAACCGACTTTCATAACGCTATGACTGGTAACAACATCGCATGTCGGTGTGGCTTAGTGGTTGTTGATGTGGCTCTTAGTGTGGCTGAGTGGCTGTTAGTGAGGTTGAGTAGAGGCTAGGGCAGCTGTTAGTGGCTGAGCGGTTGTTGTTGTGGCTGTCTGTATGACTGGGTCCAGAAATACTGTGACTTTGTGAACAGTCAAACGGAATCATGACCCAGGTATCAATCCCCCGAAGCCACAAACAACTGAGTGCACAAGTTTGTCATAAGATTTGTTAAACTTAAGATAAGACGCAGCGGAAGAATGTCCGTGAGGTCACTTACCTCTGGACAAAGTTGACGTTTATCAGCATTTAAGTTTATCACACTGCAACTTGACAGCTGACGCCCCTACAAATGCGCTCACACACGCCCTTGAACACAACTTTACACACGCCCTCATACTACACATGCCTTCACAGTACACACGCCCTCACAACCCCACACACTCCCTCACACAACACGCCTCCACAACCCCACACACGTTTTCACATACTCTCACAATACAACCTCCCCTTCACTGACCACGCCATCAGGACAGATAGATCTGACAAGTTTGTTCATCAAGATATTAAATATTAGGGGATTGAGGAAAGACCCTTAGAATGTAGCCAGTTTCACACAGCTTTCTTTTCCATCCACTATCTTTCCTAAAATTTCCATGCCTTTTTCAATACGGTATGGCATATTTTTCACCTGTCACGAAGGCATTGATCGGAAGGAGAGGAGGGTGAGAAAAGAGCTTCAACCATCTAAATAACAGTTGATAGTCCCTGAACAAGGTAACAGTAAATAGTCCCTCTCAGCTGACAGCTTTATTGTGGACTCTTAAATTTAAGTCATCAGCTATCTGTCTTTCCCTTGTACTGCCATCAAGGTACGCCACTTCCTGCCAGTGTAGAGAATATTCTCTCGAACATTACCACAGCAAGACGCGAGACAGCTAGATGTATTTGTGTCTTCGTTTAGGTTATAAGGATGTTGGAGGCTTCCTCCAGATTTTAGAGAATATCTCCCGATAAATAGGATCAATTAAATTCACCAAACACTCACACTTATGAAAGAACCTTATAAGACGACGTTTCGATCTGTCAGGTCACAAGTCAGCTATTATCTGACAGTGGTCCAGGATGGACCGAAATGTCGTCATATGCTTCTCTCCTAAGTGCAGGTTTTTAGTGAACTGTTTCAGCATGGGTGTTGTGACTATTCTTTATGATCAATTAATCACGTAGTACGTCATCCCAATTACTTGAATCGAGCCCTTCAGTAGCATCAAGGAGGGATAAATCTTATGTTGCACTGCAGTCGGGGCGTGTGGAGAGAGGATTGGCTCCAGGTAGTCACAAGCGTAATGCGCAGCTACTGAATGTATACAATCTGAGTTGTTGTACAGCCTTGCCTAGTTAACTCTTCGACCATAATCCAAACAACAAGTAGTGAGAGGGTAACAAGAAGCCGATATATGCAACATATAACGTGTATTTATAAATTTAATGGTGTTGTAATGATCATATTAACCTTGCGTCCGTTGCGCCAGCGGACCATAAGCAGACATCACAAAATCTGTAATAAACTTTTCAGAATTTTAGCATGTGGGATGAGGAGACTCCAGGAGATAAGTAAAACATGAAGTAAAGATGTGACTAAAGGAGGTTGGCAACACGGTGCTCTGGAGAGCGTCGGAGCCGTTCTGCAGCCTCAGCGCTGTTCAGTATGTCTGTAGCAGCGCTGAGGTAATACCTTACGCCACATGCTCTCCCACACGCCACACGCCTGCCTTTATCTACGTCAGTTGCAAGCACTGAGCCACCACCATGAGCCTAAAGACTGGATTACACTTACCATCACTCTAAGTGCCTGAGGAATATCTCCCATCGGTACCTGAATTATCGTGCAATAACATACTAATGAAACAATTTTAAATAAGTCACCTTCCCCAGTCCAAATATTGAACGCTTACTATATACATGATATTTCTGATAATAAATACATGTTTGACATAAATAACTTGAAGTACGTTAAGTTTGACACTTACGTTATTTATCGCATGACGGTGATGATTTGATAACGTGTTATACACCCCATACCCATCATGCGAGCCAGTCAAAAACATTGCACGGTGATGACAAGGCCTTGGCCACGAGCGAGGACAGATCAACTGTGGCTCCACACAAGTTCAAGGGCAAGCGTGAGGGCAACCATGGGTGAGCTTGTCCCTCTGTGTATAACATGGTGGACGCTGGTCCTAGTGGTAACTCTGGGAACTCACACGGACGCTGCTGGGGTGAGGTGCACCCCTTGCAACTCTACAGTGCAGGTGGACAGCAAGGTTCTGCCTACTGTGGGGTTCATTTGCCCTGAAGGCTTCCCCGAGGCTCCCCTCTATCACCCCTACACCTGTCTCATCTTCTTCAAGCAACCCCACAACCTCACCTTCCACTTTCACAACTTCTACTCCGACCATATATCTGTGAGTTTTAGTAAAGAAGAGTGGGTACATCAGCAGTGTGTTCTGTGAGTGTTTTTTTTAGTTACATCAGCAGTGTTATATGTGAGTATTTTTTTTTAGTTACATCAGCAGTGTTATATGTGAGTATTTTTTTTTAGTTACATCAGCAGTGTTATATGTGAGTATTTTTTTAGTTGCATCAGCAGTGTGATCTGTTAGTATTTTTTTAGTTACATCAGCATTGTGATCTGTGAGCTCTTTTCCAGAACTGATTCCAACAAATTTCACATCATATTTAAACACTTTCATGTTCACATATTACTCCAACACCTACCTAGTTCCCTAACACCTGTCTTGTTCTCTAACAGTATTCACTGTGTATTTTCTAACACCCGTTAGACTTGAACACCTGCTTTTATTCTTTGAATTTAATATTTATCCTGAGTCCCATGCCCTAACACCTGTGGAGTAGTCAAAGGAATTCAGAGGCACATACTGGGTCCAGGAACTGGACCTCAACGCTCTTACAGCTAAGGTTACAGTCGTAATGAGCTACTTACAATAGGCAGTTAGAATATTTTGACTGGATATTATACAATGTCATAACAATTGGAATAAAATTTATGTCATAACAATTGAGAATAAAATTTATTTATGAGACTGCAGTCTCAAAAATTACTGGACTTTTGAAGCATCTAACCACATAATAATAATATTATTATTAGTTATTATTATTAGTATTATTATTACATTCATGGAAAGAGGGCGCTAAACCCGTAGGGTTCATGCAACGTCTGGAGGGGATGGGGGGTACTCAGGTTCCATCCTAGGAAGAAGGGAGATCATATCCAATTCTGTGGATCAAGAGCTGGTGACCGGCGTCCAGGACTCTAGAGGCGTCAGCTACTAAGTGATGCAGGATGTTAGTATAATTCTGCTGACACAGCACATATTTACTTATGTACTAATGTCAGCTGATGATACCCATTACTAACTTAATGGATGAATGACAGATGCGTGTTTTTGCTCTCAATGGTGAAGGGCTCTTCATCCAAGAAACTGGAGCTACCCTCCCTATTAATTAATTTTGTCCACTAAAATTAATATATTCTTAAAAGTGGCTGAAATTGTAGATTTTAATGAACATTTTATATTTAAACAATAACACTGATGGAGTACAATACCGAGGTGTTTCAGCCGTTACTGACGACCTGATGTGTTTCAGCCGTTACTGACGACCTGATGTGTTTCAGCCGTTACTGACGACCTGATGTGTTTCAGCCGTTACTGACGACCTGATGTGTTGCAGTTGTTACTGACGACCTGATGTGTTGCAGTTGTTACTGACGACCTGATGTGTGTTTCAGCCGTTACTGACGACCTGATGTGTTGCAGTTGTTACTGACGACCTGATGTGTGTTTCAGCCGTTACTGACGACCTGATGTGTTGCAGCCGTTACTGACGACCTGATGTGTGTTTCAGCCGTTACTGACGACCTGATGTGTTGCAGTTGTAACTGACGACCTGATGTGTTGCAGTTGTTACTGACGACCTGATGTGTGTTTCAGCCGTTACTGACGACCTGATGTGTTGCAGTTGTTACTGACGACCTGATGTGTGTTTCAGCCGTTACTGACGACCTGATGTGTTGCAGTTGTTACTGACGACCTGATGTGTTGCAGTTGTTACTGACGACCTGATGTGTGTTTCAGCCGTTACTGGCGACCTGATGTGTTGCAGTTGTTACTGACGACCTGATGTGTGTTTCAGCCGTTACTGGCGACCTGATGTGTGTTTCAGCCGTTACTGACGACCTGATGTGTTGCAGTTGTTACTGACGACCTGATGTGTTGCAGTTGTTACTGACGACCTGATGTGTGTTTCAGCCGTTACTGGCGACCTGATGTGTTGCAGTTGTTACTGACGACCTGATGTGTGTTTCAGCCGTTACTGGCGACCTGATGTGTTGCAGCTATTACTGACGACCTGATGTTTCAGCCGTTACAGACGACCTGATGTGTTGCAGTTGTTACTGACGACCTGATGTGTGTTTCAGCCGTTACTGACGACCTGATGTGTTGCAGCTATTACTGACGACCTGATGTGTGTTTCAGCCGTTACTGACGACCTGATGTGTTGCAGTTGTTACTGACGACCTGATGTGTGTTTCAGCCGTTACAGACGACCTGATGTGTTGCAGTTGTTACTGACGACCTGATGTGTGTTTCAGCCGTTACTGGCGACCTGATGTGTTGCAGTTGTTACTGACGACCTGATGTGTGTTTCAGCCGTTACTGGCGACCTGATGTGTTGCAGTTGTTACTGACGACCTGATGTGTGTTTCAGCCGTTACTGGCGACCTGATGTGTTGCAGCTTTTTACTGACGACCTGATGTTTCAGCCGTTACAGACGACCTGATGTGTTGCAGTTGTTACTGACGACCTGATGTGTGTTTCAGCCGTTACTGGCGACCTGATGTGTTGCAGCTATTACTGACGACCTGATGTGTGTTTCAGCCGTTACTGACGACCTGATGTGTTGCAGTTGTTACTGACGACCTGATGTGTGTTTCAGCCGTTACAGACGACCTGATGTGTTGCAGTTGTTACTGACGACCTGATGTGTGTTTCAGCCGTTACTGGCGACCTGATGTGTTGCAGCTATTACTGACGACCTGATGTGTGTTTCAGCCGTTACTGACGACTGATGTATTGCAGTTGTTACTGACGACCTGATGTGTGTTTCAGGGCCCTTACTGGCGACCTGATGTGTTGCAGTTGTTACTGACGACCTGATGTGTGTTTCAGCCGTTACTGGCGACCTGATGTGTTGCAGCTATTACTGACGACCTGATGTGTGTTGCAGCCGTTACTGACGACCTGATGTGTGTTGCAGCCGTTACTGACGACCTGATGTGTGTTGCAGCCGTTGCTGACTACCTGATGTGTTGCAGTTGTTACTGACGACCTGATGTGTGTTGCAGTTGTTACTGACGACCTGATGTTTTTTGCAGTTGTTACTGACGACCTGATGCGTGTTGCAGTTGTTACTGGCGACCTGATGTGTGTTGCAGTTGTTACTGACGACCTGATGTGTGTTGCAGTTCTAACTGACGACCTGATGTGTGTTGCAGCTATTACTGACGACCTGATGTGTGTTGCAGCCGTTACTGACGACCTGATGTGTGTTGCAGCCGTTACTGACGACCTGATGTGTGTTGCAGCCGTTACTGACGACCTGATGTGTGTTGCAGTTGTTACTGACGACTTGATGTGTGTTACAGTTGTTACTGACGACCTGATGTGTGTTGCAGTTGTTACTGACGACTTGATGTGTGTTACAGTTGTTACTGACGACCTGATGTGTACTGCAGTTGTTACTGAGAATCTGACGTGTGCCATGTATTATTGATAATCTGCATGTGCCATGTGTTACTGAGAATCTGGCGTGTGTTGCATGTTTTGCTGAAAATCTGACGTGTGTTGCATGTGTTACTGAGAATCTGACGTGTGTTGCAGGTGTTGTTGTGCAGCATGAACTACTACTACTTCCGGCCTGAGCTAGCTGGTTCAGAGGAACAACAATGCTTCAGCATGCAACGAGTGGTTCGCTTCAGTGATGTTGACCACCCGGTCTTCCTCAATATCTCTACACTCCCACGAAGCTCCAGTTTACCACTTCACCATCTCCTCCAGTACCAGCTCCTCCACCAGCACCACCATCTCAACCAGCCTCACCTCCACCACGGTTAATACCTATCTGTTAGTGATTCTGGGGACTATGTTCCCCACGGCTCGGTCTCAGACCAGGCCTATGTTGGGCAGGAAATATTACTGAATTAAAAACTATCAGAAAGCACACAGGAAAGTTATGTGTATAATGAATGCTAAGTAGAAGCTTGTAAGATTTACTTGTCCTCTTACGTATTCATATAAGACGCTACTCAACTGGATGAGCAAGACACAAGTGCAACATCTTAGTACATTTTGCCTACCAGGCCGAAGAATCAAATGATAATACCCAGATGCTGCACATGTGTCTTATTCATCAAATTGTAGATATTATATACCTTTGATCTAATTATTAATCCCTTCTCCAGTATAAATTGTTAAATTTAAAAAGAAAAACGAAAGTTTTTCTTTTTAAGTCACCCTTCCTCGGTGGGATCCGGCCGGAGTGTTGAAAAAGAAATCTAGTTATATTCTCAATTAGTTACTCGGCTAGATTTAAAACCCTATTTTTATTTCTACGAGGCGCATCAGTGTGATGAGAGGAAGAGGAGGCTAACTCCAGTTTCTCGGATCAAGAGCCCTTCATCAACATCATGGCACCGTAATTCATCTTTAAACTAACATGTAGAACACCTTCATATTTTAAAATAGGGGTTAAACTCCCACATGTATACGAACAGAGATATACACCTCTTGGTGTATATATATAGAGATATACACGCCTGTTATATACACTGATATACACCTCTCTGTATATATACACCTCTCATTGTATATACAGTGAGATATCACAACATATACACTGAATATACACTGAAATATACTTGTCTCAGCTCTATACACTAAGGTATATACACGCCTCAAAGATATACACATTCCAATGTACTGTCGTCTCATTAGTGCTTGTCTACAATACCAGCTGTTATTTTGTCTACCTGGTGATTGTTCGGGGGGGTCATCGCCCCCGCGGGTCGGTCTCAGAACAAGCTTCCTAGTTAAGGGCTTGGGGTCAATTGGTGTTTGCTGCACGTAGTTGGGCGTAGGTACCAACAGCTCGGCTGATCAGGAACAGCTCGGAGGAACTCATTAAATTCCCTCTTAATGAAAGATAAGTGTTTGTTGTACTTCCCTTTATGCTTAAAGACGGGCAGTAGAACAGGTGAGGTTTGAACTCATGGCAAGCAAGTCCTAAAACTCGCAGGCGAGTGCGTTAACCATTGGACCATGCCGGCCTAAATTCCTCCAAGTAGGTATATGTATATGCATCACAGGAATGTCAGCACGGGCCATCACTGTGACCACACGCGCAATTTTTATAGATAAATCCAACACCGGCATGGCTGTGGCGTGCTCTAGCTCTAGTCCCATCAGTGCTCTAAAAATACATTAGATCCTTCATGCTTATTTAATCATACATATATATTGTGTTACACTCCTGGTTTCCACTGGGGTATTTTGCAACGTCTACTAAGAGTCCCGCTCGAGTAGTGTTGAAAGAGCAGAGTAAATCTGAAATAATTCTCTCCAACATTTTCCACCTGTTTCGTTAGTTTTAGGTTAGGCTGTGTAACTAGGTGAGAGAGAAAGAAAGTGGGTTGACTTTACAGTTTTATGAGTTAGCTGTAAACTAGAGTGTGTAACCAGGTAAGTCAGAACAGTGGGAGCAACAACACTCATCCATGACACGTGAAGAAACACTTGGGGCATTTTATTCTGAAAATATTTCGGTCCTGCGACTTTGTTCACTCCAAACATATTCATAATAAAATATCTTCAATTTTATCCACAGCTTGTCAGATGACTGGAAAAAATCTCTCCTAAGTAGAGTCACTAATGCGAGAACTTTCAATATAGGTTGGGCGGGTATATGAGTGTGTGTGTGTGTTTGTATCTGAGTCATCAGACCTACTGTAGTGTTCCACTCTTAAGTTCTTATGTATTATATGTACTAGATTTTCACAAACATTTGTTTAGCTAATCATCCTAGGTAAACATTAATTTTTTTATTCCTTCCGCTGGAGAGTGGAAGTGACGGTGACACTGAAGGTCACAACGGGGAGGACTAAACACGTGTTGAGCTCGCACATCATCTTTCTAAATTGATATCCGGACTTACGCTTCATTTTGCAATCCTGAAGATACAACTTTTTTTTTTATTGCACTTGTAAAATGTTGCAGTAATATTAGTCTCTTAACTGGCTTCATGTTGACTTGATGAGCTACCGGTGATACGACGCCAGAGAAACCTTGCAAGAACTGCTCACCTGGAAAGAATATTATGTTTAAGTCTCGTATTTCAGTCAGGATGCTGCAGAATTATTTGAACGGGTTAATGTTATAGTTAGGAAGATGCCAGATACAGTTCAGTGTACACAGGTGTACAGTGAATCTTACACAAGTGTAAGGTTCTAATCCTACGTAAAAAAAAATCTTAATCATATAGGTAGTGAGAAAGCCTAAACCAGGCAGAAATTCTAAGCCAAGACAACAATATATACTGTTCGCATCAAAGTTAATACATTTTTTGACTTCATATCATGAAGTACAAGAAACAGTAATCCCGATTCTTGAATTTGAGGAAGGCTCGACTCATCCTTAAGCAAGAGGATCTAAATAGGTGGAGCTGTTTACAATCATCAGTTATCAGTCATGGTAGTGCAATAAACGGAACTTTGGGAGTTTTACCATCTCCAAAATTTTAGCCAACTTGATCTTGGTCCGCTAAGACTCGGTCGTCAAACATGTTTGGTGCGTCCCGTTAAGACTACACCTGTGTTTCTTAAGAGAACTGTCCTTACAATATGTAGCTGTGTTGGAAAACTTGTTCAGAATATTGACACAGTTAAACCCTAGTATCCTGACTTGGGTCTTCTTCAGATGATTACTTGCTCACTGACACGAAGGAGGGTGAGTGGATGATATAAAACTAAGCGGCTCATGTGGCTATATTCCTATGGCTGGGGATGAATGACTTCCGTCATGCAATCTAGGTACCACTGGCTGTATGGCAGGCAGGTGCCAGACAAATCTTGTAAGAAAGTGATGCATCAGTTACAATATTTTCTGGCATATAAGGCGCGTCTTTTTTTTCCATGAAAAGTCTTGAAAAATCACCTTGTGCCTTATATGTTCAGGTCAGGGTCAAGGGTAGGCTTTGGAGTTACGCTTTAGTGTAAAATAAGAGCGTAATTAACCCTTGAATATAACTACTGATTTGCAGTTATGATACTTCTGTCGTGCGCTTTATATGCCGGAAAATACGGCGACGCGTAGCTATTGTCGTCAGTCCTGTGTTATCGATGACGGAGTAGCTCTTCACAAAACTCAACACACTCGGCTCTGCCTAAGACTAACGCCGACTCTGGGCAGGAGTGCCGGGGCGCCTGTGTGGCATGTAACACTACCAAGATAAACTAAAAGCACTAAACTGAAACCTAACTCGCGAAATGATTCGTAATAACAGGACTGCAAACAGCTATTAGAAATAAACCAAACCATGGAACGGGTAAGGTTTGAATCCATGGCGATTGAGTCGTAAAACTCCAGGCCAGTGGCCAGTGGCTTACGCACTGGCCTGGAGTTTTACAATTCACCATGAATTCAAACCCCACCCGTTCCGTGTTTTTTTTTTTTTGCAACCGCGTTATTTCATGAGTCATGATGACAATCAGAAAGAATACGAGTTCGAGCCCACGGCGAGCCAGTCCTAAAACTAGCAAGACAGTGACTTAATCTCAACTTTCTTAAACGTCATAGAATAAAGAGTGATATACTTGCTGTGTACGAAGGTAAAACAAACATAAACAAAACGTTAGAAATATTTAACCACGAGAAAACTCGCAACTCAAAATAGATCAATTCGTAGTTAGAAACGACACGGCTGAGAACTTACTGAAGAACAGAATTATACCTAGAGAGGGTTTCGGGGGTCAAGTCCACCGCGGCCCGGTCTGTGACCAGGCTTCATGGTGGATCAGGACCTGATCAGTCAGGGTGTTACTGTTGGCCGCACGTAAACCGACGTACGAACCACAGCCCGGCTGGTGAGGTACTGACTTTAGGTGCCTGTCCAGCGCCATCTTGAAGACAGCCAGGGGTCTATTGGTAATCCCCCTTATGTATGCTGAGAGGCAGTTGAACAGTCTTGGGCCCCTGACACGAGTGGAAGAAAATGTCAAGTGACGTCGTGGAAGCATCCACCTTTAATAGCGGCTTTAAAAACAGGTTAGATATACAAGTTAAGAATGTTAGTGTGAGAGCAGAGTTCGCCTCTCAATATGCGACATATAAGCACAAATGCAGTTAAATGCGATACTTTATTGACTAAGTTTCGCCCACACAGTGGACTTTATCAAGTCACAAACAGACTACCCGGGTAAAGAGCAGATGAGTATATATATATATTGTGGAGAGTCAGGTGGAGAATGCCGAGTAGGTTGGGCTTGAGACGGACCTGCATGGACGGACCTGCATGGACGGACCTGCATGCATGGACCTGCATTGACGGACCTGCATGGACGAACCTGCATGGACGGACCTGCATTTGTGTTTAACTTTCCTTCGTGTCTGTATTTTATACCATTTATCTCCATATGCGATTTATTTAGATAATTCGCTCACTAGCGACTACATCGGTTCGTGAAGTCCCTGATGGGCAAAAGTGGTCTCAGTAAAATGCCGTAAACCACCACATACACCAGCATACTCGCTGGTATATTCTGTCTGTGATATACCTCAGGTGGACCAGAAGACCTGCTGCAGGCCTTCCTCTCTCACACACACAGATGGTATTCTCACACAGGTGGTGTCTCCCCTCAGATACGTACACAAATGAACGTCGCGGATTTAACCTGACCTACGAGATGCGACAGCTGGGTGACCCCGAGCCAGCTGTGGATGGCCTCGACATGGCCCACCAGGAACACTGTAACTACAACGGCGTGCCCGTTCTCCACCAGCTGTCTCCCAGGTGGGTCACACCCTCACCAGCTGTCTCCCAGGTGGGTCACACCCTCACCAGCTGTCTCCCAGGTGAGTCACACCCTCATCAGCTGTCTCCCAGGTGAGTCACACCCTCACCAGCTGTCTCACAGGTGAGTCACACCCTCACCAGCTGTCTCCCAGATGGGTCACACCCTCACCAGCTGTCTCCCAGGTGGGTCACACCCTCACCAGCTGTCTCTCAGGTGAGTCACCCTCACCAGCTGTCTCCTAGTTGGGTCACACCCTCACCAGCTGTCTCCCAGGTGAGTCACACCCTCACCAGCTGTCTCCCAAGTGAGTCACACCCTCACCAGCTGTCTCACAGGTGAGTCACACCCTCACCAGCTGTCTCCCAGATGGGTCACACCCTCACCAGCTGTCTCCCAGGTGGGTCACACCCTCACCAGCTGTCTCTCAGGTGAGTCACCCTCACCAGCTGTCTCCTAGTTGGGTCACACCCTCACCAGCTGTCTCCCAGGTGAGTCACACCCTCATCAGCTGTCTCCCAGGTGGGTCACACCCTCACCAGCTGTCTCCCAGGTGGGTCACACCCTCACCAGCTGTCTCCCAGGTGGGTCACACCCTTACCACCTGTCTCCCAGGTGGGTCACACCCTCACCAGCTGTCTCCCAGGTGAGTCACACCCTCACCAGCTGTCTCCCAGGTGAGTCACACCCTCATCAGCTGTCTCCCAGGTGGGTCACACCCTCACCAGCTGTCTCCCAGGTGGGTCACACCCTCACCAGCTGTCTCCCAGGTGGGTCACACCCTCACCAGCTGTCTCCCAGGTGGGTCACACCCTCACCAGCTGTCTCCCAGGTGAGTCACACTCTCATCAGCTGTCTCCCAGGTGGGTCACACCCTCACCAGCTGTCTCCCAGGTGAGTCACACCCTCATCAGCTGTCTCCCAGGTGGGTCACATCCTCACCAGCTGTCTCCCAGGTGGGTCACACCCTCACCAGCTGTCTCCCAGGTGGGTCACACCCTCACCAGCTGTCTCCCAGGTGGGTCACACCCTCACCAGCTGTCTCCCAGGTGAGTCACACCCTCACCAGCTGTCTCCCAGGTGAGTCACACCCTCACCAGCTGTCTCCCCTTGGGTCACACCCTCACCAGCTGTCTCCCAGGTGGGTCACACCCTCACCAGCTGTCTCCCAGGTGGGTCACACCCTCACCAGCTGTCTCCCAGGTGGGTCACACCCTCACCAGCTGTCTCCCAGGTGAGTCCACACCTCACCAGCTGTCTCCCAGGTGAGTCACACCCTCACCAGCTGTCTCCCAGGTGGGTCACACCCTCACCACCTGTCTCCCAGGTGAGTCACACCCTCACCAGCTGTCTCCCAGGTGGGTCACACCCTCACCACCTGTCTCCCAGGTGAGTCACACCCTCATCAGCTGTCTCCCAGGTGGGTCACAAACGAGAGACAGTTGTGACTTTTCTTCCTGTGACTTATTTTTCTGTATTTTTTTCGCTGGCTAAAACTGATTATTTTCTGGTAACTTTTCTTACCTGTGGTTTTTTTTCCAGTCAAAACCGTAACTTTCTCCCAAAACTAAGATTTTTTTTTCCCAGCCTAAAACCTTGACTTTTTTTTCCGGCCAAAACCATGAATTTTTCCCAGTCAAAACCATAACTTTTCTTCTGGGAATTTTTACCAAGATTCCCGGTATATAACGCACGTTAAGACAATGGTTTCTTTTTCTACGGGTATATACTAATAATGATAATAATAATAATAATAATGCTGTAACATAATATTAGTTTCTTATCTGACTCACGAAATCGTAATGACACGACTGCAAACAAACCATACCACGGGCGGGGATAGAACCCGCGATCAGAGGGTCTCAAAACTCCAGACCGTCGCGTTAGCCACTGGACCAGCTAGCCACAAAAAGATTCGTCCAACTAGGAATATTTCTACACCATAGGAAGGTTAGTATAGGCCACCACTGTGACCACAAATGCATTTGTGCATTTATGTTGTAGATAACTTTACGATAAAACTGGCTCTAAAACACAAATCAAACTCGTTAATCTTTAAAATAATAAATTATGGCATATGAAACTCACGACTGCACTTTCCTTGCTTCCACTGATGCAAGTTGGTCTACGATGTGCTCAAATTCAGTTTTTACAGTTTCTTTTCAATAACAAAAAATAAAAAGGCACAATACCGTGACTGGAACGATACACAAATAACCCGCACATAGAAGAGAGGAGCTTACGACGACATTTCGGTCCGACTTGGACCATTTACAAAGTCACACTCTAAATGGTCCAAGTCGGACCGAAACGTCGTCGTAAGCTCCTGTCTTCTACGTGCGGGTTATTTGTGTATAGTTTCTTCTCTCTCTACACTCAGCAGAGCAAGATCACAGAGTCTGCCTTGACACATGGAGGTTCTCAAATACTTAAGTATTAGTTTTAACTTGCTGAATGATCTCTCACAGCTGGCGATGGAAACTGCGATATTATCCGAATAGCAGTGAAAATTGGGAAAGACGCTCTCATCTTCACTGAGATGAGAGCGTCTTCCCCAATAAGGACTGACAGTCTGACCGGGAACAGAGAAGACATCAGATACAAAATGCAAACTTTTTAGAAGGGTAACAGACCAGCCATTAGCGAGTCACTTCCTCACTACGACCATTTCCCAATTTCCTCTTGAACCAAGTTTTGTTGACTGAGCGGTTATTTGTTGGCAGGAAAGGCCCCTCACTGTTCTGGAAATACTTCGAACCAGCTTTATCATTTCTGTTTTCAACGCGTCAGGCAGAATTGCTTTTCCAGTATCCTTGTCGAACTTCAGAAGTCCAACGTCACTCTGTTCAATCACTTCTGTTGTGACAGTTCGAGACTCAGATTTATCTGACTTGACTTCCTCCTAAGTTTGTGACACATTTGTACTTGATCCACCTTCGGATTCTAACAACTTGTAGCAGGTGCAGGCGACTCCATGTTACGTGTTCAACAACTTGTTCCGGACTTTTTAAAGAAGGGCATGAAGAACTTGGCTTCCTCCGCCTCCAACTTTCGTCTCTTCTGTCCTTCAGTTCCATTTTCCTTCTTCGTGAAGAAACGTTTCATGGTCTTCTTACACAATGCTCTGAAATAATGAAATGGCACTTTTAATAAGAACATTAAATTTCCCAGATTTTTGCACAATATCCTACCTTCCTAGTTTGTGCGCAGGAGAATGGTATTACTGCCAGTTGTCACTGACCAGTGGTACTGAGCAGTGGTACTGACCAGTGGTACTGTGAGGTGTTTACCTGGAGAGAGTTCCGGGGGTCAACGCTGTGTGGTCATGTAGCTCCCACCACTGTACTTTTACCTAATAATTTATATAAGTGGTGCTTCTTACCCAGGATAATCAAAGATAGATCATACATCTCAAGAATTTTTTTTTTCACTATCCGAGGATGGCTTGTCTGACTTTAATAGAAACTGCCCAGTGGTGCCCCACCCTTCAAGTGGCGCCCAGGGCACGTGCCCTACCTTAGGTGTATCAGTGCGTAAGATTTATGTAAGGAATATATATATGAAGTAAAGTCGTGCAGTAAGATTATGTAGTTGACCTGATCTGCACAAAGGAAGAGGAGGAGGAGGAAAAAAAAGAGGAGGGGAGGAGGATGAGGAAGAGGAGGGGAGGAGGAGGAGGAGGAGGAGGAGGAGGAGGAGGAGAGGAGGAGGAGGAGGAGAGGAGGAGGAGGAGGAGGTGGAGGAGGAGGAGGAGGAGGTGGAGAAGGTGGAGGAGGAAGAGGAGGAGGAGAAGCGTCATATTCATTCATGCAGTCTGGTCATACCCGCAGTGCAGACACAACACGGCGATCCACCCAAATGGACAGGAGTACCTCTATAAATACAATAAACAAACAAGAGAGAGAGAGAGAGAGAGACAGGAAATATATACATACATATATATATATTTTTTTTTATTATTATCACACCGGCCGATTCCCACCAAGGCAGGGTGGCCCGAAAAAGAAAAACTTTCACCATCATTCACTCCATCACTGTCTTGCCAGAAGGGTGCTTTACACTACAGTTTTTAAACTGCAACATTAACACCCCTCCTTCAGAGTGCAGGCACTGTACTTCCCATCTCCAGGACTCAAGTCCGGCCTGCCGGTTTCCCTGAATCCCTTCATAAATGTTACTTTGCTCACACTCCAACAGCACGTCAAGTATTAAAAACCATTTGTCTCCATTCACTCCTATCAAACACGCTCACGCATGCCTGCTGGAAGTCCAAGCCCCTCGCACACAAAACATCCTTTACCCCCTCCCTCCACCCTTCCTAGGCCGACCCCTACCCCGCCTTCCTTCCACTACAGACTGATACACTCTTGAAGTCATTCTGTTTCGCTCCATTCTCTCTACATGTCCGAACCACCTCAACAACCCTTCCTCAGCCCTCTGGAACAACAGTTTTGGTAATCCCGCACCTCCTCCTAACTTCCAAACTACGAATTCTCTGCATTATATTCACACCACACATTGCCCTCAGACATGACATCTCCACTGCCTCCAGCCTTCTCCTCGCTGCAACATTCATCACCCACGCTTCACACCCATATAAGAGCTTTTGGTAAAACTATACTCTCATACATTCCCCTCTTTGCCTCCAAGGACAAAGTTCTTTGTCTCCACAGATTCCTAAGTGCACCACTCACTCTTTTTCCCTCATCAATTCTATGATTCACCTAAACTTTCATAGACCATCCGCTGACACGTCACTCCCAAATATCTGAATACGTTCACCTCCTCCATCTCTCCCCATCAATATTCCTCTTATCCAATATCTTTTTGTGCTTATTTTTCATCTTTCGTCTTCACCTTTAATTTCTTACTTTTGCAACCCTACAATTCTTTATTCAACCAGCATCTGCAACTTCTTCAGATCTCCAAGTCAAGTTCATACAAGAGCACTGTGACAACTCCCATTTGTTGTGATCTTATCTTTTAACTTCCACTCCTC